ATCGGAGGCACTGAAAGTAGACGTAGCGGTAACTGCAAGGATACTCCACATTCTCTTCAATAAGATATAGGATGAGGAAGAAGTACCAACAAACTGGAAAGAAGGACTTCTGATCAAAATACCAAAGAAAGGCGGTCTCAGCAACTGGGATAACTACAGAGGCATCACTCTTCTCTCAATACCGGGAAAAGTCCTCAACAGGGTATTGTTAAACAGGATGAAAGACTGCGTAGACACCCAACTTCGTGACCAACAGGCAGGATTCCGTAAGGATGGATCGTGTACAGACCAACTCCCAACTCCACGGATCCATGTGGAACAATCAACTGAATGGAATTCATCACTGTACATCAACTTCATTGACTACGAAAAAGCATTTGATAGCGTGGACAGAACAACACTATGAAAGCTTCTTCGACACTACGGCGTGCCTCAGAAGATAGTCAATATCATACGGAATTCCTATGATTGATTCAACTGCAAAATTGTGCATGGAGGACAATTGACAGACTCGATCGAGGTAAAGACCGGTGTCAGGCAAGGTTCCTTACTCTCACCCTTTCTCTTTCTCCTGGTGATCGACTGGATCATGAAGACGTCAACATCTGAAGGGAAACGCAGGATACATTGGACATCTAGGATATAGCTGGATGATCTAGACTTCGCAGATGATCTGGCTTTCCTATCGCAATTGCAACAAAAAATGCAGGAGATAGCGAACAGTTTGGCAGCAGCCTCAGCAGCAGCAGGTCTCAATATACACAAGGGAAAAAGCGAGATCCTCTGATACAACACAGCATGCACCAACCCAATCACAATTGACGGAGAAGCTTTGAAAGTTGTAAAAACCTTTACTTATCTGGGCAGCATCATTGAGGAACATGGTGGATCTGATGCGGATGTGAAAGCGCGGATCGGTGAAGCAAGAGCAGCATATTTACAACTGAGGAACATCTGGAGCTCAAAGCAACTGTTAACCAACACCAAGGTAAGGATTTTCAATACAAATGTCAAGACAGTTCTACTGTATGGGGCGGAAACCTGGAGAACTACGAAAGCCATCATCCAGAAAATACAGGTGTTTATTAACAGTTGTCTACACAAAATACTTCGGATCCGTTGGCCGGACACTATTAGCAACAACTAACTGTGGTACAGAACAAACCAGATCCCAGCGGAGGAAGAAATTAGGAAGAGGCGCTGGAAGTGGATAGGACACACATTGAGGAAAGCACCCAATTGCGTCACAAGACACGCCCTCACTTGTAACCTCCAAGGCCAAATGAAGAGAGGAAGACCAAAGAACACATTACGCCGGGAAATGGAGATAGACATGAGAAAAATGAACAAGAATTGAATGGAACCAGAAAAGAAGGCCCAGGATAGAGTGGGTTGGATTGTGTTTGCCGGCGGCCTATGCTCCATTGGGAGTAACAGGCGTAAGTAAGTATGTAAGTAAGTACATAGATTCCGCCAGATCACACCACAGAGAACTAAATCGACAACATCTGCACCAACAAAAATGTCGGAAGATCCGTTGGCGGCATGAAAACTATGTGAGGAGCCGACATAGTTTCATATCACCTCTTGCTTGTGGCCAATATGAAATTGAAGCTGAAAAAAGCACACGAAAAATGGGAAAACTGCATCAAAACAGTTAAATACAGCCTTTTTCTGAGATACTGACAAACTCAGTGAAATCAATTTAGACCTCAGCTTTTATATGTTGTTCTTATTAAGATTCATCATTAATGATCCAATAAGCTTCTTTGCTTTAGATGCTTGAGATTCAGCGTGTTCGGAAAAGTTGAAACTGTTGCTTTAAATCAAACTCGAATAATGAACAGTGTTGAGAGGTTTCATTGTATGTTTGTGTATAGCCAGATTTAGGTTAAAGCTCGGGCAATGTAAATAAACCCACTTTTATCAACATTAATTGGCAGATTTCAAGGAACAGGCCATTCTTAAAAGTTATTTATGTCATCTTGGATTACCGATGAAGTGTAGGTTTCTTTGGTAGAACACGAGAATTAATAAACGATTTCTAGGCCATCATCAAAAACGAAGGGTTTACCGTATCGAAAAGATGTAAACATCATTATTCGAAAGAAGTGAGTGTAATAGATCAATCACACTTCTTTGTATAACCCCACTTGTTGCATTCATAGGCTTGGAGTAGCAAGATCTAAAGCGAACCGTTCGGCTAAGTTCTGATAAAAAGATTTGAACAAAGATGACGTGAGATTCAGCATACCTAATGAGGATAGTTTTATAAGAAAGTTGTGTGAGATACTATCGAAGGCCCTACTAAAATCGAAGCATAGAATTATTGCTGATTAACCAGTATCACTTCGCCGGGTAATTTGATGAAAAATTTCAAAGTAATGTGGAGCATATGCGTTCAGTTGTAGATCACCAACGTAGATGATCTATGTCGAAATGATTGGAGGCCTACTCGAATTAGACGGGAATGGTGTGACGAACTAGCAAACGTCGAAGTCACACATTGCGGTCAGTACCTTACGTCGATTGCCCGATTGACGTATCAAGGTATTATAGATGCTTTGAAGACTGTACAACACAAAGGACTTTATTACAGAATTATATTAGTTAAAGTAAATACAAGCGAAGGTAAGACCCCCGCCGCATGGGCCAGTCCATGGCGTACAATTAACTGATGCGCGTTGGTTGTCCTTGACCTTGGCGAGGATCGATGACCGGTTCGATATTCAATGACCTAACTGCCGGATGATTAGGCTAGGGCTCAGTGGAATTTCACTGGCCCTACACAGTCAAAAACCCATGTTGAGATAGGTAGATGATGCTTCCCGAAAGTAAGAATGATATTAGCTTTGTGTGAATCTTTTTTCATGATTTGTGATAACACAGATGTCTTGTTAAAGGGCCTATAGTCACTAATATCTCTTCATGATCCCGTTTTCAAACTATGAGAGATAAGCGATGTTTTCCATACACATTGACAAGTTTCATATTCCAGTTGTAAAATGAATAATGGTAAATCTCTGCTACCGTACACCACGACTGATGGCGAAATGCCATCAGTTTTACCGTTATGGGACCTTTTTGGGGTAGTTGTGGTAGATGGGAGATCAATTATGGATAGATGCTAAGGTGTCAACAATAGAATCGTACTGACAGAAGTTTCGGTTTTGTGGTCTAGCATAGAGAAAAGTGGTTGAACTGTTGATAAATAGTATCATAGTTGAATATAATGTTGCTGTTAACTATGTAAAACCTGGTTGTACTAAGAGTATTCGATTTCATGCAACATTTGAAAAGTCGGGGCATTGATAAGTCTGAGTTTTTACTATCTAAGGTCTTATTCTCCATGAGATACTTGCGTTGGGTAAATCATCTCTGTCAATCACGGTAAGCATACTCTGAGGCGAATATACGTCATGTTGCATGTGGTAGCGGTGCTTCCGCTCGAAAATATTTTGGCCCCATTTTAGCATTATTAATCACTTGGTTAATAATTGTGGAAGTGCAGTCAAGACAATGCAACACATCGTGGTATAAATCGGAAAACTCTGCGTCAGTGTTATCTGTGGTGAAATTAGATTCCCATGGTAAGCATCGAATAAGATTTTCAGTGCGCTTTCGGGTTTGTTGAACAAACTGCCTGCTCTGGCACATTGTCGCAGCCGTAAGGTCCGATGGTACGGCTTGGAGAAAGAATAATACTCAAAACGATCGTAAGGCTGGAACAACAACCTGTCAGGATATTGGTGAGGATTCTTTGCGACCAATTATAGTTAAGCAGTATCGATATATTCAAAAAAAGAAAAAGAAACTCAGAAAACCAGCACATTGATTCCTCCATTAGATATTTCAGAGACATTCAACTACGACGTTCTAGTAAACACCACTTTCCGGAAGTGATCCTTCTGATCTTAACTGTGTGGTTGTATAGATCTCTTGACGTATGATCACGTCATCCTACAGTGATTTTACTCCTAAAGACAATACCTCACATAACCATCAATCTGCTGTGCTATTCGATGAACCAACCTTAACATGTGATGTGAAAATGAGAGGCCAAATCTGACTTTATTAGGTATGGCACTCAACGTCGAAGTAGAATCACGAGATCGCGTCGGGTTAACTCTGAAGTATACCTCTTTCATCTGCAACTCTCACGTCATACGAATTTGTTTGCTTTGACTAGCTGCATCCATATCATTTATCAATGAATAGCATGTTCTATCTAGCTTCTTTTGCCTCGCAATATATATCCACATTTTCTTTTTAAAAATACTAAATACATCTGGACTACGCTGTTAGCCAGAAAGAGGTTAGTACGGGTAACGTACGATCGTGTCATAGTAGTAGTAATGTTTCCAAAACTGGCCTTACTTATAGGATGTTTCACATTAAGTTCGATGAACTCTAATATACTAAGGACCTGAGCCACACTTCTAGCTCTTCAGTAATCGCATTAGTCTTGGACAATTTTTATACTTTGACCTGCAAGTTAAAATGTGGACTACAATTTCTACCACAAATTTACTTTTTCATACACAAAGCGACTAGCATATTTCTGAACATAAGTAGACTATCTGGAAATACAATAATTTCCCCTACATTATTAGTTTTTCCGTCTTTTGTTTCAACAAGTTACCTGTCATACCGAATCAATGGAAAGCAGCCATAGCGTTGAAATAGTTTCATCGGTGGTTATAGATCAATCCACTATCCGTTTCCTGTATTGTCTCATGGTTAAGCTTTTTCTGAAGTGTCTTGCAGAAACTACACTAATCGCAGATATCCAGTACGTGGTAGTATTTTCCAAAGATCATCAACAGCCGCATCAAGACCACAACTTTTATCAAAAGTGCATTTTCGTATAATTAAATCACTTCTATGATAACTATCGACTCTTAAGCTAATGTGTACAGTAAACGTATTTAGTTATGTAATTTGAATGCACTGAACTATCTAAACAAATCTACTCTTACAGTGTTTATTGAGACAAAGCAGAATATATCTATATTATACTTGATATAAGTCGAGTGGAGTCATATCTCTGTAAACAGCTATATTTAAAATGGAAAACAAGAGTAACGGCTGTAACTCCGATTTTTGAGAAAACGATGAGTTAGCAAAAATAGAATCAAACATTCGAAAAGTTTAAATACTGAAAATAGTTATCGACCTCGACAGGTTAACACAAATTATATAGTACATAACAAATATGATCATACAGAGAAATAGTAGGACCCTTGTTTACACACACATGTAACTATTCTACGGTCAGAGCATTTAATACATCTTGTTGACTTTCTTTGTACAGAAGGAAAGTAACAAACAAGCGAACAAGTTATAGGAAGCTTAAAAGGAAAAAAACGATGAAAGTAAATGGGAAAGAAAAATATGGTAGTACAATGCATCCATTTTAATAAAAGTTTCAAAATAAAAATCAAACTAGAGAAGCAAACAATAAATAACAGAATTGAATGTTAGAAGTGAAATATAACAGAAAAAAAAGCGAGATGAATAGAGAACCAAAAGGGGGATAATATCGTTTGCATTATGATTATTATGGAATGAATATGTAATCAATCCGAGCACCATTTAAGAAATTATAGATAGAGGAGAGAGGATGTGTAAAACCACTAGAGAAATGTGCATTCAAAATCGTCCATGAAACTGGTTTTGAAAGAAACACAAATAAGTGCGGAGAACAAAGACAATGAAATGTAAAAAAAAAAGATATTAAAGGGAAAAAGATCTTAAAAATACATATTATCTCCACTTTGAGCAAAACAAATATTATTGTCGAGCTTTACATTAATTGTGATAAACCGGAAAAAAAACTGTAATTTCTAAAAATCATATGAAGTTATAAACTATGGACTGGGGAAATATTCAATTACAGGGATTGAAGAATTAGTTGTAGTAGCATGGACTATCTGAGGAGAATCGGTTATTGCGTTGTTGCAAGAAACTGGATTAACAACTATATCCGGTGAACATGCTAAATTCGTATTTTTGGAGATTGCTCGTGGTTCAGTGGGAGAACTATTTTGATTGAGTGATTGATGTAGGCGTTGAATTAAAGGATGTCTATAAATCCAGTTTTCTCCCTCTTCACGAAAGTATTTTGGTGTCCATGTATGTTTTGAGTCTCTTCTCTGTCGAGCTAAATCTCGTTGTCGCTGTTCCAAACGATGTTTAGCATCTGATGCTGCATCGATATTACCCACTTTTAAATTATATGTCACTTCCTCCCACAATCTACACAAATGTTGAAAAGAATTTAGGAAATGCACATTGAATAAAGTAATTCCTCCCAACCTACTGTACTGAATACTTTACGATTCATTACAAAATAGCAAAGTAATATAAAAAAGCTTCTTGACTAACTTATAAAATTTCATCCGGGTAGCCGTGTACTTATGTATAGGTAACGGAATCAATCATAACAGAAGATAACTAAACATATAAAAGACATTTGTGTAGCTGAACTCATCGATTTCATAATTTTGATAGACTAACTATCCGTTCACTGATTAACGTCGTCATTTACAGAAAATCACTAATCCACTCATATTGTTAGTTTATACATGACAACATGTAACTAGATGACCGAAATCCTATCAAATATTATTTATTGTCTTTATTTCTCAACAAACTGTATGCTGAATGAAAAATATGTTTACACGTTTCAAAGAAACCTTACTTTATGTTATGCTGAAGTTATGATATAAAAGATTAAACGCTTTTATACTGAAATCATTAGTAACAAATTCTGTCGTGAACGGCAGGAACGCTTCCACGATCTCAACAGTCAAGGTTTAAAAGAAAAAGCAACAAATCATACAACCTACTAGAAGAAACTAAAGATAGCACAAAGCCCTTCGATTATCTCTTTGGGTTGATTGAGTATCGAAAAAATCTTGAAAATAACATAAAACTAAATAATGATGAATGATAAGAATCAGATAATAACATCATCCGTCAGAATATGTAGGTTACAAGTTGCCACACTATGAAACACTAGTGAATGTAATAACAAAATAAGCAAGCAGAAAGAGTTAAGAAGATAAATAATAAGTGTAAGGTAAGACTTTATGTTGAACTTTTGTTTGAGAAGTGTTAATGTGTAAACTATTCATAAGTTAGCCAGATAATAACTAACTGTAATTGTTATATCCCGATAAGAATAATGAATGGTAATTTTTGGGATCCATTTATGGACCATTACTATGAGTGTATTTTTATCGTGTAATTGTTATGTAACTAGACTGTCCATATTCATGTCCCTCTTATTATGAGTTTTACTTTGACCTATAAACTATTATTATACCATTTACCATTCTTGAATTATTCCCTGTATGTTAATCACTACCTCCCACATTAACAGCCAATTTTGGCCAAATATTGTATAAATGTTATTTTCTATTTTATGGTACGTTGTGGTTTGTTTGATTGGTATATGAACTCAGTATGTTTGAAATAAATGATTCATATTGCAGAGGCTGAGATTGGCGTTCTGGACTCAACTGGCTGGGCTAGGCGGAAAGCAGGACCAATCAGGACCCTAGGTTGCTCGCACGTGTCTTATGAGTCAGTTGTCTGGTTGGTATTTCGCTGCTCTCTGATTGTCGGAATCGTTGTGTTGTACAATAAACAGGGCACACAGGTTCACAAGTTATAACAGTAATCAACTGAGAAATTTTTAGAATGACGAAGAACAGTTAGGTGAATTATGATAAATTAAATGAAGAATAGTTTCCATAACATATGTTTCCCAGTTTTATAAAATAGGAAAGTTTAAAATTATTCAGACGACAATGAACGTGGTTGAGCACTACATTAGTAACTATTTTATTAATATGTTTCCCAGAGACAGTATTTAATCTCCATATTCTAACTTACTTTACGAACGGCAAAAAGTAAATGCATGTTATGCGAAATTCCCTACTAATACTATATATATATATATATATATATATATATATATATATATATATATCAATTACCATAATAGATAAACTAACAAACGAAATCACATTAACGTACCGTCTTGATTCATTTTCTTCTTGGCGAGATCGAGGAAGGACATGTTTTCTTACAGTTGGTAGGTTACGGGTATCAATGAATAACTCATTTTTCTACAATATTAAAAAAAATTCCTAAAAGACATCTGAATTTTATGTATATGATCATAAATGACCTATAACAAAAAGTACAGATAGGTCGATTACTAAATAATAACTACAGGTAAAATCCTCATCGAACCACGTGACCAGAAAAATTGAGTAGTATAACAGTGAAAACAATCGAATTAATGACTTAAAAAGGAAATGGGGCTTTTTATCGCCTAAGCGAACAAAATTATGGACACTTACCTGAAGATTTACATTTCTTTGTGTAAGATTGCAGTAATTCTGTGCTTGATGACTGACACAGGCGTTTGATTGACTTAAAGATTTAGTAGTCTTTTGTTCACTCGCTTCCAAATACTAACATTAACAAGTTAAATATACTTAAGCCTGACTGATTTTATACTTCTAAAATGCCTATACAATCAATTAAGAACCTCCCAACTGTTGTCGCTATCTTGACGTGGTGGTCGTGCTTGCTTATCGTGATGAACCAGATAGGTTATACTGGCTGGAACAATCGTTCATCAAGGTCCTACCATGCCAGACAGGTCTGCTGAAGAACGGTAAGACTAAAAGCAACAAACCCAAGGTCCGAAGGCGAAGTCATACTGCTGACTGTGCAGAGGTGTGACGACAGTAAGATGTTTCCCTCAGATGACCAGCATGACAGCGACGCTGTCTTCCCACAAGGAGGGGTGGGGTAAGAAATGGTAGACCCTAAAAATGCACACCTCGCCTTATCCCACGGATATCCGCCTCCGGCGGTAAGGTCTCGACAAGTACAGAGCTAACACAAAAATTACTCGAAAAAAGGTCGTGTGTGACTGACCTCAAGCAATTGTCCCTTGGGCACTGCGGTCACGCTCTCAGGTCACTGAGACCACTTCTAATCCAATTTCTTTTTCAGGTACCTCCAGAAGAACCCTTCCACGGTGTGGGCAACCGGGAAGTGATAACCGCCCTCATACCTCTAACAGCACCCAAGACCACTGTATTCATAATCAACCTCCCTCTTCAATTCCTATTATTCCTCCTACATCGACTTTCAACTCTAAACTTCCTCCTTCGGCTTCCTCCTTAAGTGTCACCATAGCCAACGATTCTAGTGCTCAAAACTCTGTTCCAGGTCTACTGAAACCTCGCTCCAAACTACACATTGGAGCTTTCAACGTACGCACTCTATGTCAAATCGGTCAGCAGGCTTCCTTGGCTAAAACCCTAGAGTCTCTTTCCATTGATGTATGCTGTGTCTCCGAAACACGCATACAGGATTCCAGTGTGGTCATTCACTTGACCTCACCTCGGCAAAACGGAGAGCCAACGAGATACACCCTACGAGTATCTGGTGACCGGACGGCCAGCTCTCGTGGACTGGCAGGTGTAGGCATAGCACTAAGCATGAGGGCGGAACAAGTACTGCTAGAGTGGATCCCCGTTAACAGTCGTTTATGTGGTGTTCGGCTAAACGGCTCCGTAAGAACTCGGAAGGATAGAGACACACGTCGTTGCCTTTTCGTCGTTTCTGCCTACGCTCCCACCGACTGCAGCTCAGGTGAAGTGAAAGATGAATTTTACAGAAAGCTGTCTGAACTTCTTCAGAAAGCTAAACGCTCAGACATAGTACTCGTAGCAGGTGACTTTAATGCCCAGATAGGTAGCTCAAACCAAACAGAAAAACATCTAGATGGGTATTTTGGTATTCCGGCACAGCAAACAGATAATGGTGATCGTCTGCTGTAACTATGATCAGACAATCGTTTATTTTTAGCAAACACAAATTTTAAGCATAAGGAGAGACATCGTCTAACATGGCGACCGCCTGCACCAAACCAACGATGGACTCAAATAGACCATATTGCCATCAGTCATCGTTGGAGTGGGTTGATAGAAGATTGTCGCTCATTCTGGAATACCTGCTTGGACTCTAACCATGCTCTAATATAGGAACGCATCTGAAATAGCCTTACTGTATGCAAAAAAGCCACACTAAAAAGACCCAATAGAACTGAATTGAGTAATGAGAAAACAAAAAGTAAGTTCCAGGAACAAGTGAGGTCACACTTTAGTAGTTCTGGAAACGAAACTGACCCACAGGTTGCTTGGAATGAAATATAAGCAGCTGTGGAAACAGCAGTGACATCGATTAGTGATTTAAAACACAGGGTTACAAAAAACCAATGGATTCCTTCAAGGTCTATTGCACAGATGGATTCTCGTACTCATCCCATCAGGCTCTGAACACGATGAAGAGCGTAAACAAATCAAATGTAGGTTAAGCAAAAGTCAAAGGAACGACCGTGAGCAGTGGTGGGCAACGAAAGCAAAAGAGATGGAAAAGGTGGAGGCTATAAGGAACACAAGACAGTACTACAGACTAATACAAGACACTGGAATTAATAAGTCAAGTGTAAGTGACAACATCTCGGAAAAAGACGACACTCACATCTGCTCCTAGTCCAGACGTTTAGAACGATGGGCCGAACATTTTAGAGAACAGTTCAGCTGGCCTTCAGCTACTCTACAACCACCCACCATTTCCAGACAACTCGAATAGAACATTGAAGTAGGTCCCCCAACTCTTGCTGAAGTTCAGAAACCTAAAGCTAATCTGAAACGAGGAAGAGCAGCTGGTCCAGATGGATTGGCTCCAGAGGTCTTTAAGGATGGTGGTCCAATTTTAGCGATTAGGTTGACTAATATTTTAGCTAAAAGCTGCGAGTTGGACGTAATCCGCTCTGACTGGTCACCATAACTGATTGTCCCAATATAAAAGAACGGGTCAAAATCATCCTGTGATAATCATAGAGGGGTTAGTTTGACTAACATAGCATCTAAAATACTAACCAAAATAACTATCGTGCCCCTAAAGTAGACTCGTGAACTGCAAACACGGGAAAATCAGGCTGGATTCAGACCTGGTCGCGCCTGCATCGACCACATATTCACCATTTGTCAGATTCTAGAACATAGGCATACTTACCGGCGTCCGACAATCGTGGTCTTTCTCGACTTAAAAGTAGCATTTAATTCCGTAGACTGCGAGATTCTGTGGCAGTGTCTGTCATGGAAAGGCGTACCTCAGAAGTACATAAACCTCGTGAAGGTTCTTTACTAGAACACCACTAGTCGAGTCAGAGCTTATGGCGAGCTTTCATCTGTCTTTGCAACCTCAAGTGGTGTCCGTCAAGGCTGTCCACTTTCTCCATTTTTGTTTAACTTCACCATAGACCTACGTTCTCGTCGACAGAATTCTTGGGCATTGATCTCCTTCCAGAGGGTCCACTTATCGACTTAGAATACGCAGACGACATAGTCCTATTGGGTGGAGTAGCTGATAAAATACAGAGTCTTTTGGTAGCACTGAGCGACAATACCAGAATGTTTGGAATGCGCTTCTCTCCCTCTAAATGCAAGTTGTTGCTTTAAGACTGGTCTGCGTCAACACCTGAACTAGGCATAGGGAATGAAGTAGTCGAACGCGTCGACAACTTCACTTATCTTGGAAGACTGATCAGCTTTAATAGGTTGGTGTCTGACGAAAGCTTTGCATGGATTCAGAAAGCCCGTTTGACTTTTTCCAACTTACGTCACCTATGGGATATCGGTCTGTCAAATGGAAGACGAGTATACTGTGCGGCAGTTCTGTTCTATGTTACGGATGCGAAACGTGGCCATTGAGAGTTGAAAATACTCGTAAGCTACAAGTGTTTGACCACAGATACCTTATAAACATTGCTTTTATCTGCTGGGATCACCAGGTAAGTAATATTGGGTTAGACTCAGGGTATTAGGGAATGATGGTAAATCAGTTGATGAGGTTGTGAATTTTCATCGACTGAGATGGTTGGATCATGTGTTGCGTATGCCTGAACACCGATTCCCACGACGCGCAATGCTAACTGGTGTTGGAGATGGTTGGAAGAAAGTCAGGGTTGGCCAAACCAAAACGTGGCATCAGCCCTTGAAGTCACTAACTTCGAGCCATGATGACAGATACGGACTACATGGCTGAAAATCGATCACAATGGCGTCGGTGTATACACTTTCTGTCTGCCCTTAAACTAAGAGATCAAAATTCGCTTCATATCTTTCTTTCTACGAACTAATTCTTTCTTCCTGTACTATATCCTTATATGCAATCTTTCTTTTATATATTACCACCATTGAATTAACTACTTATATGAATCCGGTGTTCATCTTGCTGTGCGAATGCCGTATTGCAACTTGGACCGATGCATATATGTGCCTAGTCCTACGTTGTAGCTGACTGACTGACTGAATTAAGAGCCTTCCTCATAAGGTTACTAAACCTTCCATTTATGATTTCTCTATGTTTGAAATTATTCCATAGGAAGAGCGAACCTTTTGTCGCTTACTTACTAACATCCACTGAAACAATACAACTGCAGGTTAGATGAAATCAGCCAACCATTGATCACAGTATAGTGCATTAAACTCAAAATAATAAAAAAGGTGAAAGAACAACTTGGAAAACTGCTTTTTGTTTTTTTTTTTCTTTCACTTACACCATGAGGCCACTTCGCTAACATCTTATCATTCCATTCACCTTCAACAATAAGAAATGCCTTCTTATCATTAGGTCCAAAAACCTCAGCACGTAAAGTATCTCGTTTACCACCATAAAAAGGTTTTGTTCGAAACTCGATATTAGCTATATAGCCAGTTTTTAAGCATGTGATGCTAGTTTTCCCACCCAATTCAATCCATGGAACAGTGAGAATGTTTCTGTGATAAAATGTAAACGAGCATAACAATATACACGATTATTCGTGCACAAATGTGAAAATAAATAAGAATTAAAAAAAGGAATGTTAAACTTAAAACATGAAAACTATCCTTTATAACTAGTATTAAAATAAAACAGGCAACAATTGGTTGGAATAGTAGTTGAAATAGGAAATGACTTATTATTTGCTAATTGATGAGATGTATGACAAGACTCCATAACAAGTATATTTGAGGGGAAAATAAGTGCATTCTTCAACAACAACTTTAAATAGACCAGATCTATACATATACGTTTTTATTTAATCGTCGGAATTTAATTATCATCAGTTGTATCATGAGCTTCGTAAGCTGATAAATAATTTTTATTCTTGATTGCATATCTCATACTTAGATGATAGTTCCAATTCATTATTATTACCAAACAAGTCAACCAACCAGCAAATTTTTTTGGTATTTCACTGAGTTTTATAAACCAATTATCTACTCTGAATAGTTCATTTTACAATTTATTATTAGGTAGCTTTGATAAAACTAAATATTTCAACTCCTTTACAAAAACTATTTCAAAGAGTAATCCAGCAAAAATTAACTGTTACTATGACTACTGTAAAGTTACTTGGATCTGTGCACATATGTGCCAGGTCTTAAATTATTTATGACTAGCTAGTTTAAAACTATAACAAAAAGTGAAAGACTTGTCCTTTGAAAAGAGATGAAAATGAAGAACTGTATATATAATACAGAGAAACGGTACTAAAGCAAGTATTTACTTTGATCTATCTACGTACAATAGGAGCTTGTATCACATGATTCGTTTACTAAATTCATTCAATCAATCATATAACCTAATTAAAGGAAATTTCGTGCTAACATTTCAAAATAAAACAAATTGTGTTCTATATTTAGAAAATCATACGATACTTAGCTTCCGGACTTTAGTTTCATGGACTGACACACCAAAGAAAAAAGTTAGATTAGAAATATACGGGATATTTATAGTGGATGCTAATGATTCCTAACTGCGCTTTAACAGTCCGTTGTTAGCTGCTAAAGATACACTTTAAATTAGCTAAACAACATTATTTTACTCGATTCTATATTATAAAAAACCCATTAATTCACAAGTTTTCGATAGGATTACGTATTCTGAAATGAAATTAATCATTTCTTTTCAGACAAGCAGCAAGTAAAACAAAAAACAACCCAAAAATGGATTGATTAACCCAATCCACACTATAATGTAAATAATCACTCAGAAATGTATACCAACCTGCCATATCCACATGGAAACGTAACCACATATTCTTCATCACGACTTAGTAATGATATGACAGCTGAACCAACCATTTCTACAGCTATACTTAGACCAAGAAATTTTGATTTAGTCCACAAGTGTCCATCTACAGCTATTTGATTATTAACATGTTCAGCATAAAAGGCGGATATAGGAGGATGGTGTGAGACCTAATGGCAGAAATATAAAAAAATAAACATTTTAGAAATACGATCATATCACATGCTTGATGATCAGTATCGCTGATAAAAATGAAATATGTATTGAACATGCTTACAGGATATTAGAATTTCAATAAATGTCATATTAACGATATGTTTCTTCACATAACATGTACGAGACACATAATATTGTGACTGATTCATGAACGATCTAGTAACGACGCTATAAGCTTCCACATAAACCACTACAACAACTAACTGGTAGTTATAACTTATAAAATCTGTAGAATTTAACATTCTGAATATGAAAAATAAGTACCCTATGTTGAAGGTGAAGGTGTATGTAGTATATGCCCTTTTATTTTCTCAATGCAAAAAATACATATTTTGGTTTGTCTACAGTGACCGGTCTCATATAACTGAAAACTGAGTTAACGCTTTCGTAAACCTTTGTTTAGTGAATAAAATTTACTTCTATTTGTAAAAACCAAACCACTGAATAGAAACGTTTTCAGCCCGAACATTGACTACTAGCTATTTTTGTTTGTATCGGTACTAATTAAAGCTTCAAAACTGGATAAATGAAAGGAAAAGATGCATTGATGTGATGAAAGTACAGCGAAATCACAAATGGAAAAAAGTTTGATATACCTCACATTATGAAAAAAACCCGTATAATTCATGATATTCAGGAAAGTATGATCTCTAGAAATCCGGTAGATTTTATCACATAATAGAGAGAATTAAAAAACACATATGAAGACAACTCAAATCTCTATGTCTATTTAGTAAAGCTTTAGACAACAATAGAATCCACAACAGAAGATATGACGACAGTAGAGACCTACCTGTTCTGCTAAGAAGACTACGGAATTGTGAGGCGCCCAAGGAACAGGACCAGAATTATATAATTTTTCCTGTGGTTTTTCTGATGCATTTGTCGAATCATCTCCACTCTCTGTAGATAAAGGCCAATAACAGCGAAATATTTCACCTAATGTAGGATTGTAAGGTTTCTTAGCAACTGACGATCGTCTGCCAGCATGGAATGCAGACAAATACCACCGAAGACAAGCAACCATACGATCACGAGGCGTTGATGCATTAGGAATAACAGCCCATAAATCAGCATGTGCTAAAAAGTCTGCATACATTTCCAGTGTAGAACGACGTTCGAGAATGAATGTGGGCAAAGTGATTCTAGTTAAATCCATTCCGATCCGAAGCTGAGAAAGAAGATGTGTTATCACAGAACCGTGAGATTGCACAGAACCTACTTAATAAACAACAAAATACAGAAGTGAGAATAAGTAAACTTAAGAAATACTGGTTGTTTTAAATTTTGACAAAATCTACAAAAGTAGTCATAGTTTAACTTTAACAAAGAAAATAGATTCCTTAGAAATATACTTCTCACTGTGATAGAAAATAGGCGATCGTAATAACAAGTGTGAAGCATGAAGGCCGTGCTCTTTAGTAGAACTAAGAAAAGGACCACATGTCGAACAATAAGCTTAATTAACTACATCATAACCAGAAAACTATTATATGTAAAAATTATATTTCAACAATAAGTATTTCAGTATGAAGAACAAAAACAAAATTCATTTAATTATTAAATAAACCAATATCCCACTCAAACAATCAAATCCAAACACTAACAATCCAACTAAAGTGATATTAAAGCCATTACTGAAGCATACAAAAAACAACTGACATAGCAGTCACATTAAAAACAATAACTTCCAATCAAATACCTGAATTCCGCAGCTAAAAGAAGAAATAGTATAAACCAGTACGTGCATATCAACCAAAATGACACATGACTGCAACTGAACAGTAACGCAAGGAGCCCTCCAACTTCTTGTATTCTGTAGCTAACAAGCAAAATAAGACTCCCAACCAAATAATACAATAGTCTCTCACAGCTTTCTACTTTAGAGATTAGGATTGATACCAAACGCCCAGTGGGGAGAACTACGTTTATAAATCGTCAACTGAAATTGGTAAATATCAAGTAGTTTATCTTATAATTTATACTCCAGAAGATATATTAAAAAAATTGGTTGACACGAAATCAAATATCGTGACGTAAAAGACTTGTATTTATGGCTAGATTATAAACATTTTAGGTTTGAATCTCCAAGTATGAATTTAAGTAACAACGAATTACAGCAAGTCTATTTTTTTTGGTGGAGTTTTGTTCTCAGGACCCTCCTGAATATTAGTAAAATCTTCTTTATGAGTGTAAAACAAGCATCAATAAATTAACATTACAGATCAGTACTAACTGTAATTACAACTAAAAATATAAACCAACCCTCTAAATTATGAAGGAGTTAAGTAAATGATATAACATACAATTAAATTATGATAGTTAAATATACACATAAAAACATAAACAACAGCATTTCGCAGGAACAATCATGATTTAATTTACTTACACTCTTCTTCCTTTTCATCATCATACAATTCGTCGAAGGTATCATCCAAAGACGAATTCGTCTGATTATTTGATGATGACTGACTTGAACGATAACGACCAGATTTCGTTATAGGCACAGTTGGATTTGAATGCATGCTTAGAATTGTATTACTAAAAGACAAAAGTGAGGTGTTTAAATGAAGGAATGGAGAGAAAAGGTACATGGAAACACTGTAGTCTGTGTGAATGCATAACAATAAAAAAGCCTATATAGTAGCAACCATGTAATTTGAGTTTAAGATATTCGACTGCCAAAACTGCTAACGGACCATTTCATTTTATTTGAACAACAAACTAATGTTACTATTATTGATAAAAAATCTGATGCCCAAAGACAAGAACATGAACTACTTGGTTGTCGAGTTGCATGATAGGAATTTATAAAACCGCGTGATTATTCATAATAATGAAACTACTACTATTTATACTATACAACAATAAGCTTATATATGTCTAGCAGCATCTTGAATACAATCGTAAGGCAATGACTTTGATTATTTTAGGTAGATAAATTATCTGAGACGATTTTCAAATGGAATTGTATTAATACGAGCAATATCAAACATACCAGTAGCACACATCTACAAAAAGTAGTCACAGTAATTTTGTACCAACGTAATCAAACTATTAAATATATATTAAGAAAAAATCGAAAATAATATGGAATAAGACATTACTCAGTTGAAGAACACAAATTCTGTTTGTACAGAAATCTCACAGGTACACTGGCATTAGTACAATATGTTATGCTCGTGCGTGAACGTACATACACGCGAGTACAAACAAACTTATGACGCCTAAACGTCTATAAGCACCTCGAGAAAATGTTGAGTTGTAGTACGTAAAATAATTGAAAACTCATCGTTATATATAGTATCGTCTTGTATCTAAATCGATAATTAGTGTAATATCATTCATGAAAATATTTTAGTCATTAAATTTTGTGAGTCCATATCTTTATTCCTAAAAAAAGACAGCATTTCATTGTTGTCAGTAATTACGAAACAATTAACAACAGCATTGTTGCGATTATATCCAATCATCAGCAACCAAGAAGAAATAGAATGTGAAGGTCATACTCAAATGATCTTTTGGCAATCAGAATAAGTTTTAACTTTTAATACGAGATTAATTAACACTTCAATTTATACTACCTACGATAGCGTTTACTCTATTAAAAGGTTGGGTTTGATTATTAAAGAACTTCAATGTTGACTAGTTAGTGATAATTTAAAATTCGGTGAGAGAACTTGTGACACACACACAATTTAGCGAGTAAGAAAAAATCAAGATCCTAATACGTAACCCAGTAAAGTCTTTTACATAATACAATAACTGGTCCTACTGAAAACCTATCTAAAACGAATGGTGATAAATCATGTTACCCCAGAAAAATGTAAACATGGCGTCAGCTGTTTACAAATCTATACAAAGTTGAATGAGGTTCCCATCAGCCACTTATCCACAACGCACAACCTGGTACATATATGCATCGTGTCAATTTGCCGCACCACGTCAGTATGTCGAGAAGCCAAATTAGTAGGAGTAGTAGCAATGCTAATGGTATTAGGAACTATGCATGGAAAATATGATTCAAGGATCACTGGATTTGTGGAACAAAAAGTAAAATAAATAATAATTTAGGGTATTTCAGAAACATACTGTTCAAATGAAGATAGTATGAATGAGTCTTTATTATTTATGACTGATTCTCAGCCATGTCACACCCAAATTCTTCTAGCAATGGTTACGATAAACGCGCGGACCCCGATAAAGTGGTCTGAGCTTATTTGCAAGGCTCCGTCAATGAGTGCATGGACTAATATCACGCTTTGAGTTTGGCAGTCCCTAGCAATCTACCGCTATATAGTACATCGGGGCAAACAGTAGTTGGACATGCATAATACATGTCTCAACTACCGCAATCGATCAAGTCAAGATATACAACCTAATCAATAGATTTTCATAAGGCATTAGTCATTAATAATTAAATAAATAAATATACTTTTATTATTTCGATAGAATACAATAATTCTATTATGATCACAACTTCATTTCATTCTTCAACAGACGCACATGACGACGAAATTTGGTGGGACCTTTGAACCAATAGAAACTTCTTCGCGAGTTAGCGTTCGTTACGATTCAATACATTTAATATTTACTTCAGGCAGTAAATTAAAAAAGTTGGGATATTTTAACTTTCAACTCCAATAAATAAGAACTGACATAGTAGTTAGATTCAAATCATACCCATTCACCGATGAAGTCCTCAGTGTCCAAACTGGAAAAACCGGAGTTCAACACACAGAATCTCTAGTTACTATAAATCTCATGCTAAATTTTATCGATTAGTTTCACTATTTTGAGATAAGATATGTACATAATAAACCTAAAAGGAACTGAAATTAAAGCTAACGGAATATTGTGAAATTATCCGTATTTGAAAGTATTACATACTATCAACGTGAGTAGCAGCAAACACATAAAACTACTATGTTAGGACTTAGCTAATTAGACCAATTCATAGAAAAAAATAACCACAGAGTTCGGATGAATTATTACATACTCCTTGACAGGTTGTGGAGAATTTGTTATTGCGCAGTTGACAGAAATATCTTCTTGAGTATCAAAGAATTCTTCATCCTCTTCTTCTTGATCCAATTGAGCCTGATCATCATCTGAAGAAGAATAAGACCTAACTGGCATTCTTGGGATGGACAATGGTGGATAATTAGAAGAGGGTGAATCTAATGCATCAAAGCATCTTTTCACAATCACAGTATCATTAGGGAGTGATGAAGAAATAGTAGCTAGCTGCTCAGGATGTGAACGTATTGAATGGGATTCGATGGATGATTCTGTAGTAGAAGATGGCCGCTTGTGTAATTTGCTTTTTTCCAAACGTCGAGAATTACGAGTAGAATGTTTTCTGGAAGGTTTCTGTGTTATAATAGGGGAAGCATTAGATAAGGACTCTTGACAAGAAGTGAATGGATTTTCACCATCACCTTCACCACTTTGAAGGTTCATAAATGTATGATTTATCTCATGTACTTTTAAATCATAATCTGAAAGAGAAGTAAAAATAACAATGATAAAAAATACATATGAGTTATTCAGACTATGACTACAATAATAATGGACAATTAGTAAACAAAGTTGACTCTTTAAAAAATGTATCTACAACTGTACAAGTGAAATCAGAAGTTTAGAAATGCACTTCTGATGATTTGAAGCAATAATCAGCAAAGTAGTTTGCCAAGACAGAAGGTAAGTACAAACATTACATTTTATTTAGTGACAAGGGTTGGAAGATCGAATTAAAGAATATAACAGTTCAAAGTCACGTGAAAGTGCTTTCGTCTATTTGTATAATCACAGGACATCTGCAACAAGCCTCGATCCTGAAAATAAAATATCATACACTAAAATTACACTACATGATATAAATAACTGACATTTATTAGGATAGAAAACACCACTGAATTAAATCCATAGCTATGTAAATAGCAGGACTGACTTAGAACAAATTTGACGACGCAACTATATGACATTTTAATATAAGCATATTTCTGCTAAGATTTTAGACACTTTGGATGGAGACAATATTTGTTACTTGTTAAAGGTCAAAGGTTAACTAAATTGTAAGTAACTTCTTTGTAAATAATCTAGTTAGATACATTCGGTTCCCCTTTATGAATTTGAATAAAGCAAAATAATATGAATTTATTTTACTTTATGTCTCCCCTTCAGCTGCTTACGACCGTATTCGTATCAAAGTGTAACATTGAAATATTATAATACAATAAAAAGTAATAGAGATTGATGACGGAAAGAATCGGAATAACAACGATTATCAGTAATAATTATATATATATACCTTTATAATGAGATTAAGTCTTACAAATTTGATTAACATTGAGAAATTAAATTAAAGAGAATAAACACATATTCGACCTAATCTATGAATGAAATAAATAACACTTTAGAACAATGGGATATACCTTTCACTTTCAATGTAGAGAAAGCACTGCTTGATATAGACGTATCGAATTGTAAAGTTTGCGGAATGTCAACTGCATCAGAAACAATGTTGTCATTCAAAGTAATCGGTATACGATATGAACTATTGACTGAACCCTAAAGTGTATACAGAAAGATATATTTTCAAGATGAGAAAGATAATGTTTTGAGATTCAAATGCAAAAAATTCATTTCCATATTAATCAAAGTAAGTTGCTAAATCAAAAACTTAAAAGCATAAATAATAGTTAAAAGGAAAGTAAGTTTATCACAAATGTCACTTAATTCTATTTGATTTATATTAATGAATTATCGATATTTCATTAAAAATAAACAATATCCTTGTCATGTATCCTATTATATTAGTTCAACAAACCAATTAGCTGAACAAGGTAACTGCTGTATCAATCCCGCTAGTGATGAGTTCATTTTGTGACTATTTAGGATATACTGACAGCAATGTAGAAATCTAGAATTTACTCGGTGATTTGAAAAATAATGATAATAATAAAACATATATGGGAAAAATTAAGCGACCTAGGCATACAAAAAAGGTACCGAGCATGTAACTCATCTAATTTGAATGATGCAACCTTAAAAAGCATCGACCCTACAAAATCAAGTATGGACAAGTAACATTGTTTCATCAAAATATTTATCAAACAACAAGTACTGCGAACATAGATTCAAAAACAATACAAAACAATTACTAAGTTAATAACATACTGTGAAAATGATAACAAAATCTACACCGATTTACAGCCATAATGAAGTTCATACAAAATTAGAGACAACACTGAAAAATAAGAATACATTATATGAACAGGGCTTTGATACTGCTCGGGCGCCCAGACCGAAGCAAGTGGTTTTCTTAGGGGGCCACACCCCCAGCCTTTGACTTAAAAGTCAAACCCACAAGGAAGTGAAGCATCGTTAGGAGATGCAGTCACATGGTAGCCGGTGACCAACGATTGGTTCTTACTCTATTTGTTCCCTCAGCATACAGGAGCCTATGTGCATAATTGATTTGGGATCCGGTTAAAGAGCTGGAAGCAGCAGCTGCATCTAGTAACTGCCGGAAGCTCTTCCAACTCATCTGAGTCACTAGAAGCAAAAAGTCTGGTGTGAACGAAACAATCTGTGAGGATGACGAGATGCCAATCACTAACACCCATCGACAACTTGGACGATGGGCTGAATTCTTCGAAGGGCAGTTCAACTGGTCTGCTGCGCCGGCAACGTCGGTCGGATTGTCCTGCTCTCCATAGCCTGTGACGACTGATCCACCAAATGAAGCGAAAGTCCGCAAGGAACTCCAACTCTTGAAGCGCTACAAATCACCGGGGCCCAGATGACTTACCTCCAGCTCTTTTTAAAGATGGTGGTGACTTTCTGGCTAAGGAACTGACAACGTTGTTTACAAAAGTCTGGGAGCTAGAGAGTGTACCAACGTCATGGGATGAGTCGATAGTTTTCCGTATTTTAATCAGTTGGCAATCATTGTCCGTAGGTACGGTATGTACTTTGCACATTCTAGACTTCCAGGACCCTGATCCTGTACTCACCCTGGATGGTGAGCAGATAGAAGTAGTCGAGAAGTTCGTGTATCTAGTTAACTGCATAAGTGCTGGTGGCAGTGTGAGTGATGAGATCAATGCATGTATAGTGAAGGCCAGAGCGGCTTGTGCTAATCTGGGCTATCTTTGGCGCCTTCGTGATGTTAGTCTGGCTGAAAAAGGTCGGATCTACAACGCGTCGGTGAGAGCAGTTCTGCTCCATGCTTGTGAAACCTGACCTCTCCGAGTTGAGGACGTCAGACGACTCTCTGTGTTCGATCATCGCTGTCTCCAAAGGATTGCTGACATCCAGTGGCAACACCATGCCAGTAATGCAGAAGTTCGGCATCGTGTGTTCGGGCACAGAGATGATAATGCAGTCGATGTCACCATCTTGAAACACCGATTTCGGTGGCTTGGACATATTCTACGAATGTCGTCTCAGAGAATTCCACGTCGTGCATTATTTGCCGACTCTGGGACTGGTTGGAAGAAGCGGAGAAGTGGTCAGTGTATGACATGGTGTCGTGGCATGAAAGAAAGCTGCAAAGAGATGGCTTCTGTTAGTCCTTCACGACTCCCTGGTTGGGGTCCGAGAGATGGTGCAACACAGTGGCCAGAGACGTTATCAGATATGGCTCAGAATAGAAGCCAGTGGCGATCCTGCTGTGACCTTCCTTTACTTTCTTCATAAAAAGTGGTTGTATCTTCCTTAACTGAAAGATTTCTTCTGATTGTACAATCGGAACTAATTTGTTCATAACCTATAACACAAAAGTTAATTTAATGGGGCGGGAGAAGATATTAGTTTGTTTCAAGAAAAAAAATTAAGTATAGCGCACAACAAAGAGTTTTTTAGCATATTACAGTACTACTACTAATAATAAGTTAAATATTATAATCAAAGGATTCTTTCCTATTTACACTATCAAATAATTATTCATATCCTAAACTGAGATGTTAGAAAAGTGATTAATCCAGACACATTTCGTGGGGCGAAAATAAAATGAATTATGATTTGTTATGAAAAAATAGTGAGACAATGACACTTATTATATATTACAGTGCAGAAAGCTTTCGGACTGTGAAAAGTGACAGATATCGTGATTAAAATACTTGAAAGATGAATTCACCTAAACAATAATCTAAATTGTAACTTGACCATTGAATGTTAAAACAGGGTTTTCCTAATTAAAACTTTTACTAAACAATAATCTCGGCAAGGGAAATACTATGAATAATCCATACAATGGGTAAAGTTAAACGAAAAGAAAACCGTCAAGTAACGAAACTACGTGTAACAAATAGTTCCAGAAAAAATGTAAACATAGAATACAATGAACATCCAAGCTGTGAATTGAAGCCATCATGTATTCTTACATCCAATTAGCTACATTAATCAAGTAAATGAGATATATGCCTATGATGAGTGGACAAACCAAACAATTATTTCCAAGAATTAATAAGGTATTACAAAAAATCTTTTAAAAGACTAAAATGCACCAGAATAAATAACCAGTTACACATTTGTACACTTAACTATTGGATATATTACATTCAGTCAATGACTTTTCAATACTATGAAGTCTTAGTTTGTAGAATCGAAACTAAAGTAGGAATGAAAAATAACTTTTCATGTATTGTACATGAATGATAGAAAAAAGATAATACTGGAGATTTAATTCAGTCATTTGAAAACAACTTAAATCCGGAAGTTCGCGAATAAGAACAGATTTATTAGATCGACCCTAAGAATACACAGATATACCATCATTACGCAATAATCACTATTTCTAAATAATAATTAAACGGTGACAAAAATATACTAGTTACAGAAAAAGAATAACTGACGAAATACAGAGTATCACTATAGACGTAGAAGCAAAATGAATCTTCAGCATTAATCAAATGACCTTTCTATTAGGTATGGATTGAATATATAACCACGATACAACCCTAATAGATTGTACACCAACCAACAATTAACTCCAAATACTAACCGATACAATCATTTACTGTGACCACTTATGGTAAAATAGGATCCTGCTAACAGAAGTATACGAAATGTCCTCCTTATTGCGTCACCCTGATAAGTTCAAAACAAAAACATAAAACAAAGATAAGAGCATCACTGAAACCATGAGTAGAGTACACGTATTTAAATACTATATATATATATATATATATATATATATATATATATATATATATATATATATATATATTCCATAAATATGGGGAAAACATTTACTGAAACTTAGCGTAATAAATATGAAGTAATAGTAGAATAAACATTCAGATGAACATTAGGTGTAATGAGAAGTAAATTATATACTCTACATATCTTTTCTACATAAAAAATGTTCACCGTTGATTTGTTTACATTCTGTTAAGCTAATATTTGCTGTTATGGACTGACATAATCAATAGAAAAGAAATTAGACTAAAAACTAAACAGTGCAAATTTCCTTATACAACCAGCTATTGATGGCTTCCATAGACTAGTGTCATTTAGATATTGGTGCAGTGCTCAAGCAAAGATATTTTTCAACGTACATGTATTTAAGTAAATATTCTAAGCCAAAATAGGTGACAGCATTGTATGAGTAAACAAAGATCGAAAATTACTTAATAGTCACAAATGAGCTGGAACAACTAGCTAGACGCTTAAAGTTTGAATAAAAAACTGGAAGTAGTTAGTTTTTTTTTTAAATCTCTGCGAAACAAGGTACATTCATACTAAACAACGAAATCTATTCACAAATATTAAATACTGAATCAAACTGTCATCAACTAAGTACACGTAAGCAAACGGTTCACCAGTAAGTACAAGAATAGATTTTTAATAAACGTAAAACATTTAAATAAAACTGCGAAAGGAAGTTGTAGACATGAAAAGGATGAATAGCAATTGGAAAGGACTGCCCAGGACTAGGTTGGATGGAGAGAGTTGGTGGGTAGCCTATGCTCCTCCATAAGAGGTAACAAGGGCAATTAAGTAAGTGAAAGGAAGTTGCATGATTCTTGAACAGTTGAAATATAACCATATTAATGCTGCAACCAACCCCTTCTGAGAGTTCGGTGAACATTTATCGAAAACATAAGAAATATGGTTACTAATTTTAGCTATTTATATTTAACTAACAAACTATAGAGATAAGCTAAATATGAGGCAAAACAACATCGCACACAGCATACATATATTAACAACAGAACTAGACGCGTTATATAAAGAATTAAGACACGTTATAAAACACACCGAATAGTAATTAATAAAGCAGGCACAACGGAGAAACGTAAGTATACTAAAGTAAAGTATAAGAAATATGAGTGAACCACACTATAATCAGACCACAGAATGTTAGTAATTCTCAGAGATGAAGCTAAATACATGAGACGCTAGATCACAACCCAGGATATCAAAATTGATGTATTTGGTAAAATCGGTAAGGACATAAAAAAACTGTACGCAAAAACACCGAAGTATTTAAATGATAACTAGTTTAGCAAAATATTGTGGACTGTGCTACTGATGTCGATAGATATAAATAGTATGAATCATCAATCGAAAGTGAAGTGCCTGGGAGCAGAAGGTTAGAAAGATCGAAGAAAAGAGAACGAGAATAGTAAATGTTTGTTGTGGAAATGAAGGAACAGTGAAGTCTGAGACGATTGATTGACATTTTGCAAAGGGAACAGTTAAATTTGAGATAATTGATTGACGTTTTGCAAATTAACTATTTACTGTATGGCTCTCAGATTTTATCAAGATGTCCTGTAATTTTGTATTCAAATACATCTGGTTGAACCTACTTGTGTTCTAGTTCACCACAATATAATAAAACAATCTTTAACAAATAACTTTATCAACATAACACCGTCAATATTTTCTTATGCAATTAGTGTAAATTTTATGCCATTAGTTAACAAATATAAGATATTTTTAGGTCCCAATACAAAAGTGGTTGTACGCTAACAATTTCAGATATCTCCTCAAATCGCCAAAACCTTAGAATAGAAAAGGTAGGGAATATTATAGAAAAGTCATTAGTCAAATGAAAACAACTTTCTCAATAAATAAGTGGTGTATATCACACAACTAAAAAACACCCATCAATTGTAATACTAAAATAAAACTGATTTGTGAGATTATTAATTATAATCAAAACTATTGAATTATTCTTAGGAAATGAGGCAATAGCAGACAGTTACGATTGTGCCATACCTCAAATCAGCACAGCGACAAAGCAAGAAAACAAGACAGGGAAAGGAGAGTACTTAAGTTCAACTCCAAAGAATGCTGAAACATGAGGGAAACTGTTAAAAGAAATAAGATTGAAGAGTGAAGAATCAGGAAACAAATTTAACACAAAACTTAGACGAATAGAGATGAGTGTAACTGCATCACTGTGACTGGTTTTGTGCCATTTCGCCAAAAATCCCCGACGAATGAATCAGATTATTGAGTGGACGCTAACCAAAACAGTGCAGATCAAGATAGGCGGCAGTTTACACACACGTAAAACATGCTCTAATCATTCCAATGGATTAAAATTTATAGACTCATTATTGAACTTGGAAATTTATGATCCAGAATGTGAACTCTGTACATATTTTCTACTATTTTAGACTACACTTTATAGTCATACACTGAAACAAGGCGGAGTGTTTTATAGTATATTCAGAGTTTGGTTGGCAAGCTGACGTCTCTTCCGTAACACAGATAGCGAAAGAAAGCAAGAGCTATGGGAGCCTTCTATACAACTTCAGAGATTTTGTCAGATAGTAACCTAACAACTTTGATGAAAATCCAAAGATAAGTGAAGTGATTATCACCCTCATTTCCTATGGTAAAACCAGCAATGATGCAGATCAAACAGAAAGTTGATAAGGAGATATAAATATCTTGTCAGCCTCGTACATAAACCAAATCCAAGGATTCTAATAATCGAAGAGACATAGAAACGAGAATGTAGACCGTCAGTAAATTTGAAGCCAACACAAAATATTGCTCAGTCACGATTGATATTAGTATGTTTCGGAAACGAATTTCAATTCATATTAATTTATGGGCTATTATCATTAATATTCAACTTACTCTGGCAAACTGGAGGCATACAATTGTCTTTTTCACCAGTTCGATAAGCCTCTGTAAAGATTGAAAAATGAAAACAAAACACCGGTAACATGATCAATGAGACAGTTTATTACAAAATATGTAAGTAATAAGTGATGAAAGGAGAAAGGCAGGGAGGAAAGGTAGGAAGGTAAAACATTAGTCATTTCAATTTAGTATACTGCTACACACACCAGATGAAGACAAAGTGTTTAGCTTGCTCTTCTGAAATACTTATTTAAACTTTCACAGTATCAGTGCTACAATGATTATTTTGATTCCTTTACTATTTATTGTTTTTATTTTATTTCATCATTTTGATGTGGCATGGCAGTGAGGGTGGTTATCACTTCCCGGTTGCCCACACCGTGGAAGGGTTCTTCTGGAGGTACCTGAAAAGGAAATTCGATTAGAAGTGGTCTCAGTGACCTGAGAGCGTAACCACAATGCCCAAGGGACAATTGCTTGAGGTCAGTCACACACGACCTTTTTCGAGTAATTTTTGTGTTAGCTCTGTACTTGTCGAGACCTTACCGCCGGAGGCGGATATCCGTGGGATAAGGCAAGGTGTGCATTTTTAGGGTCTACCATTTCTTACCCCACCCCTCCTTGTGGGAAGACAGCGTCGCTGTTATGCTGGTCATCTGAGGGAAACATCTTACTGTCGTCACACCTCTGCACAGTCAGCAGTACGACTTCGCCTTCAGACTTTGGGTTTGCTGCTTTTAGTCTTACCGTTCTTCAACAGACCTGTCTGGCATGGTAGGACCTTGATGAACGATTGTTCCAGCCAGTATAACCTATCTGGTTCATCACGATAAGCAAGCACGACCACCACGTCAAGATAGCAGCAACGGTCGGGCCATTAAATCTAACGTAAAATTGTCCCAGGTTCTACAACGATAATGACTAACCGACTTTTGAAACAGTTTAATCTGAAAGTGTTGAAATATCGGATAAAGAAAACAAAAAGCAGCATGTCAGTCAAGTCATTAACCAATCCATGGACATATTTTGACAGACTTGATATACTATCCAATGAAAATAGTAATGATCAAACACGAGGCCAGAGAATAATACAAGAGTATAGACAATAAACACATATATGCAAATATTGACAGCATAATTAGTATAAACAACTTAACGCATTTTAAGTGAACAGGAGAAACTGTTAGCTAGGTATGGAAAAGCTAGTAAATCAATTATCTTTCCAAGTTCATGGTGACGATGCTATGTATCAACATAAAGAAAACCAACACAAATGGAAGAGCCAACTAAGAGAACAAAGGGCCAATAATATGAAACATAGTAGTCATATAACATAACTAATTAGGAATTACTATTTGAATAACTGAAATAAAACACAGTTGATCAACAAAACTTCCACTAATTGAGTAATCTGTACTTTAATTTCCCCAATTCAAAACAGTAATGATGTTTTGTGTTACGATAAGAATTTTCCTAATCGTCGCATGAATCTTATTTGAAATTAGTATATGCGATTTCCTAAAACCATTCATTGATGAAAATCTAAAGAAATAAATAATCTTAAGTAAGAAACAAGGTAATCATGACTGTGCAGTATTATTACTAGTCCTAAGCAAATGAAAGTGGAGTACAAAAAATGAACATGTCTACGCCTAACATAAATGTGTACCTTTGTTAGTATTCCTTTTTCTTTCTGCCAAATAATATGGCATCAAACAGAGTTATTCTGATTGACAACCATGATCGGTAAAACATTATAACCCAACAGGTACAGTTAAAATCCTTAAAGATAATACGATAGAAACCAACAGACACCTTCGAATATGGCAGTTAAAATACATGTTAATTAAAAATATCAGTCAGCAAATTCATGATTCTTTCCAACCAATAGGCTAAACAGTCAATTAACATAAGTTATTACCAACTATTTATTGTAAAATAAATAGGGGTTTCCTCTACCTGACTACTAATATTACAATTGAAGCAAACGGTTTGCGACGAATTATGTGTCAATAGCTGACCAAATAGTTTGTGGTAATGTTTCGGGCTTGGGAATTTTGAGAGGTGAGTATGAATACGACGAGTAGCCATAACCACAAGGTCGCAGGTAGATCTTGATGAATTATGCCAACCCTAGGACTACGTCCAGGGTTTTCTATTGACTAGTTCCGACCACCCATTTTGTCGGAATATCAAAAAATTCGAACTGTATACCATAAATGCATAAGTATGTGTTTGTCATGAGCATAAACGAAAATTTGCGACACGAAAGATCGATGGACAGAAAATCGATTTGCCTTTAGTGTCTACCAGTCAGTCAATTGAAAACTCAGATAATAAAAAAAACATAAACATTATCAAAATATCACTATAATGAGGTGTAAAATAGAAACATAATTATTACGAGTTCACATAAAACCCAAGGAACATTGAACAGGACATACATTAATATTAAACATTTTATGAGTCTAATAAAAACTTTCTTAACTGCCTGAGTACAGTGATAAAGTAAGTCAATAAGGGTTGAGAAGTACCTGATATCATATAAGAAATGTTAATGAGATATTATGCAAGGGATGGATGATTTTGTTTGCTGATTAAAAAGGTGAGTTGAAAAAGAACTGTAACATTAAAAAACACTGAAAATGAGTAAAAAACAGAAATTCTTGGAAATAATCTTTCGAGGTACACTGTTTATCATGAAGAGTTACTAAACAGACAAAAATTATCAATACCAAAGTAAACACAAAATATCATTGCGACAGAAAACGGTCAATCAAACAAGTGGATTTACATCACATGATCAGTTATCAAAATTATTTATTTATTTTTAAAGGAAAAACCCGTAATATATTCCTTAAGTTGTTGTTTAACCGTTTGAAAGTGATTCTCCTTGGTAATGATCAAATTTCTCTTTTAGAAAGTTTGCATATGACCCCTTATAAAAGCCAGTATAAGGTATTGTGTATACAATTCGGAACTTCATTACTACACACAAAACAGTAGCTAACTCAATCTATCTAAGAACTAAACAATGCAAAATAAATACAGATTTGTAAAGTTCAATGATTTATCACCATCCAACTGTAATCTCAATAAAATACTGCTGCATCTATGCGCCTAGAAAATCACATAATCCAAATATGAATAGTTTAAAACGTCTTAAGAAATATATATATATATATATATATATATATATATATATACTTGGGTTGACTGCCTTTTCTGTAAGGTATATCAAAGAAAACTATCCATAGGATAATAGCATACAAACCGACCGATAAAGTACAAGCCGTTCCAAACAGTTTGTGTATTTTGAAGAAATTTGAACAGTATGGTCCAAATATCTGGACGAGTTATGATACTTTGTGGATTATCTTGAGTTTTAAATGCTAAAATACTTTTTTTCGGTCGATCATAGTTGAATTGATCATGAAGGAGAAAATGTAACGAATAGAGGAAAGCAAAGAAATTGTGTTAGTTCACTATTATATAAGATAGAAATTTAATGAATGATAACACAACCCACTGAATGCAAGGGGAAATGAAAGTTGGTTTTGAAACATCTGTATAAATCTTATTCTTAAAATGTCAATATTTATTTTAACTGTCAATGTAGAACTGGTATAAAAGCAGATGAACTATTCCATACATGGAAAGATGCATATTGCGTTACGACTTACTTTATCTGAAGCAAAACTAGGATGGAAGAAACTATAAGGTAATTACACTGAAATATCGCATTTACGCTAATCTGAACTATGATCTTCATAGCTTTTAGACCAAAGCAATGTTATGGTATTTATAGCAGTTAGTACAGGTGAACGTCTGAAGTTATAAGACAAACAGATGTATTTATTATCGTGTGATTAAACATAAACACACATTAATTTTAGCCGATCATGTCTATTTTAAGGTTTCTCCAAATGAATTTCTAGGTCTAGGTCTAAGGTCATCCCTATGCAATACTACCAACCAATAAGATAGTGACATGATTCAAACTCAATGTGCATTTACCATTTTACCTGCTCTTGTAGAGCTAGGTATATAGGTCGTTCGATGCGTACTTTATCCAAAAGAATTCAAGAACATTGTCCGGCGTGGCTAAAAAGAGGAGGCAACGGCTCAATAAGAAGTTTTATAATTGAACACCTTGTGAACAGAGGTCACTCAACCAAGACAGACTCTGCCTTCAAAGTCATCTACAAGGTAAGTAGAAGCCTTCCTAAGACAATTAGACTGCATCTTCTTTGCATTGCCGAGGCAATAGCTATACATTTTGAAAAACCAGAATTATGTGTACAAAAGAGACTCAATGTATTAAGAAAAATTTTCTTCTATTTCTTCATACTCTTGTTCCCTTACAGCCACCTGCTTCATCTTCCATCTTCCCTTCAAATCTCCTACCCCCAACCGGTTTGTTTTTATTTCCACGATCATTCCGATCACATTTCATCTCTGTTTCAACATTTTATTTTATCATGCTGAGCCATCCTTTCCCAATGATAATTTCCCTATCTATCATTTGATGAATACTTAAGCCATTACCAATCAAACGATTATTAAACTTCCCGTGTTTTAAAATAATTTTTAATACCTTTGTTAACTTAACCCCACTGTCACCATGTATAACAGAAGTTTATTGTCAGTATTATTATCATCCTGTAAAAATAAGTATATATATTTGCGATTGCGCAACTTTGAAAAAGAATTCGCCGAAAACAGAACTCTTCGCTGAACTAATCTTTCTTTCTTATATGAAAAAACATCAAAAAGATGATGTCTACAACTTTTCCTTAGGCATTTCACTCATAGAAGTGGTAGAGAATATAACTAATGACTGGATACTTGTTGTCAGACACCATTTGCACGAAAAATAATATACACTCATCCTCACACGTCGTCGATCACAAGACTTTTGGATTGCACAACTACCTAGTGATAAATAATGAAAAGTCTATTTAATCAACTCTTTATTTAACTACGATAGAAAAGTATTTCGCACTCCTTCATATACTTTTTAGGGGAAATTGTAAAGATATGTA